TCCCCCTTCTTTGAGGAGTGCCTTGGTTAACAAAAATCTGACATCCTCTTTCTGGACAATTTAACATTGAATTGTCTTTTCCACAACAGCACTGCTTCAGTAAAAGGAGCAAAGCACAGGTTCACCATAGAAGAGTCTGCAGTCAAATGCTTAGGACATTTTTCAAGGGGAAAGATGAGGTGGACAGAATCCCTTCCAGATGAAAAGGAAGTGAAAATCTTCAACTAGGCTATGCCAGTTAGTGCCATGCATGAAGGTCACCATTCTTCCCATCCATCTGACACCTTTACCAGCACCAAAAGGCCCTCTATATCTCCTATTTTCCTACCTCAAAGCAAAGTCCAACATACCCACCACAACATCCCCAAATAAGGCCTCAGACATACCTCTCCAACAACCTTCCCTATGGGCAGGAACTGCCTGAATGAAAATGCTTGCTGCTTGCCTGAAGGTGTGAAGGCAGCAAGCAAGTTGCCGTTCCTGGCAGAATGTCACTTGGAGGACAGGCAAATCCATACAGGCAGTTTCTGCTCAAAGATAATTCTCATCCTGATCCAGCTAAGAACCAGCACCATGTACTGTCAGTTGCATGCTTGCATCACTTTGGAAAGTCCAGTGCAAAAAGTCACAACCAAGTAATAAGCACAAGTGCAATTGAAGGCACGACAGACCTGCTTTAAATGCACCCCAAAGCAATATGAGCAAGTGATTTTCAAAATAAACATGGCAAACAGTCTATAAAACAAATGACTCTTGAGATGAACAGAAAAAGAAACCTTTATTTTTTTAAATGAAGGAATGGAGGGGAAAAGAGTTGGCATGCTTTCAAAGCAAAAACTGTTTGAACTTCAAAGCATCAAGTGCAAATCCAATCCATTTCTATAATGCTTTTATCAGCTTAACAACCAAGTTTTAGCTTTGCTAGTTTAAATCAGCTAACAAAGAATTAGCTGATTTCATCTACTACTGCCATTACAAAAGTAGGTGCCAGGATGACAGCTCTGATAAACAGGATTGGCAGAGTAAGACGTCACTCTGCACACTGAAATCTTGAATTCAAGCCACACATTGAATTGAAACTCTCTCTATGCTAGAAACTCAAGGACATAAACCACCTATGATTCAGCTCACACTGTCAGTTCATGGTTAAGTTGCTAAGTACTGAGCACCTTTCAGGTCTTCAAGAAGGATCACACAGCTGAAACACTGCCCATACAGGAAAAGGTAACCTTGGAAGATTTACCATTCTTACAAGAAAAAAAGTGCCTGCGATTTCCCTGTTAGGTTTTTGTTTCAGTTTCTTTTTAATTGTTATTAGTTTAACCTTTGATATTTAAAGGAAGCCCTAAGGATTTGATTGGAAATACTTTCATTTGCCTTTGGCCATGTACCAGATCTGCAATACTCAAATACTTATGTAGTTCGTTAGGCGAAGAGGGTGCATGCTAAGTAAAATTCCACACCTAAAATCCCAACAAGGAGAAATTCCTTTTTTTTTTTTTGCCATATTGCTGAGTATCAAAAAGATCAAAACTGAACTTCCTCTTCACTCAAATACTGTATTTAGACTGACTCTGAATTAGAAACTCTGAACAAGAAGATACATCATGGGTAACGCAAGACTAGCAAAAGGGTTTAGCTTTTAAAGAAAATACAAGTTTAGAATACAAAATTTTCAGAATTATTTTCCAAAGAAGTGTGGAAAATAAGCTTTTAGATGAAATACACACAGAACAAAATTCCAAACTCTACGATAGACCAGTGTTGCAACTTGTCAAACAAAGACTTCTTGTAAAACAAAACACAGAATTTCAACTTTACAGCATTTTGAACTCCAGTTATACACAAAAACCCTTCTAAGAAATGGATTAAAATGAAGATGAACTAGCCAGGCATTAGTAGAACCTAAAAACAGAATAAAAGAATGAGAATAAAAGTTGTTCTAGCCCAGAGTACTGTCTCTAACAGTGGCCAAACACAGATACCTCAAGAAGAATGCAGAAATAGCGCAAACCCCTGTCATCACTGTCAAAGAATACCCTCATAACACTCAACAGCTTACAGTTCAGTAGTATCTTCACGTTAGATCAATCTTAGTGGATTTCCTGCATGTAAATTTACCTAGTTGCCCATTAAGTCCACATAAACTTTTAGCATCCATAGTATCCAGTGGCTAGGACTTCCACCCCTTAGCGACACACTGTGCTGACATAGCCTTACCTCCTGTCACTCATTTTTGACTTGATAATCCATTTTTTATCAGACACCCCACAGAGCTTGCATTAAAAAAATAAAACAAGTGATCAAGCTCTTTTAACAAGGTGTTCCATCCATGCCACACATCTCCAGATATGTCTGTCTTAACCTCACAATACGATTTACTAGTGAGAGAAAACAACGAAATGGTTTCTTCTCCACAACCTCTTTTTTTATCTTAACTGAATTTCAACCACCATTTAAATGCCGTAACAGTTCAATAAGGTCTTTCTGCAATTCTTCGTAGGCAATGCTGTCTTTTAAACCCTTGATAATTTGCAAAGACCAGCAAATATCACTGTTCAACCCCTTCATTTATGGAGTATATTGAGCAGCACAGATACCTGAACTGATTCCTGTGAAACTCCACTGCTTAAAGACAACTGTTTACTCCTACGCAAGCTTTCAGGCATTTATTATTTTTCCTAGCAGGATCTTCCACCTCTCCTTCCACTATTCCTTAGTTGGTCATGCAAGCAAGAATTACTGAATACTATGGTTTAGGGATCTGCCAGGTACACTTTGCACAAAGGGCACTCCTTCCAAAGGGGAATTCCCATGCTTGGCCACAGGTGTCCAAATGCAAGTCTTGGCAGTGAGACAAAAGACATCTTTCAATCCTGTATTTGTTAAAGATATTGTAGGACATCGTTTTCTGCTGGTTGTTTTAGTATATTATTTTTATTTACTGCATCTAAAGGGATCACATACCCGTAATTTCAGCCTCACTTGATATACTTTCACCACCACTAGCCTAAGCAAGGAATTTTTTTTTGTGTATACAAGCGAAATTATCTCCAGAACTAGAAGGTTAGAGACAGGGTTACCAAGAGAAAACAATACACTTTTATATTACACTTAGGAACCAAGAGGGATTGTGGACTCTCCCTTACAGATTTGCCAAGGTACACCTGTCAGAGGGGGTCTGAGATAATCACTCTGGATGCTGGCTCTGAAAAGATCTCAAAGCCAGCCTTGGGACCTAAGGACTGAGAGCTCACTGCCAAACTTGTTAGAGCAATCTTCCCTCAGATCATATACTCCTCCAAGTTCTTCTCTCTCCCTTCCCTACTTCTTAATCTTTGATTAAGGTGGTGGTTATCTCCTGTATTCTCTCTGCTTTTGTTCTAAATCTTAATACCTAGTTCTATCCAGCAGCAGTGGCTAGTGGCTCACATCCCTACACCAGTTGGGTGTGGTTATCTTCTACATACAAGCCTTTTGTTAAGTGTTTCAGCATCTGTCTTACCTTGCAAAGTAGAAAAATCCACTGCACCTCAGCCTTACTGCAATACTTTTATAAGCATTCATTCTTCCTTCCTCAGACTGAAGAGTTCACATTTTAAAACCCCTTCCTAAGCTACACAATAAACCCAGGATGTATCACCAATACAGATTACTCTTACCGTCGCTATCACATATGGTGAGAGAATTCTAGACAGACTGCACAGAACAGTACTAAACCAGGTGACACAGTGGTATCAACTGCTGTAAGTCAGCAACATACTTTTTTCCTTTTATTCCTTTTTTTTTTTTTTTATTGATCAATTCTGGACACAAAACTGAGTGCTGGCTTTAGATTTCCTGTTTTACATTTTAATGCTTCTGCATAGGTGTACAGTGAAGTCAAGTATAAATGTGGTAAGTGTACATAAAATTATACCTATTTAAATGGGAATAGTAGCAACAGTATCAAAAAAAAGTAGCAGCAGGTGCTTAAGACCTGGCCAGCAAGCCAAGAATGATACTACATTGTATTTCTACCACCTTTCCTGCCCCTATTAGATGCAGTACAGCAAGCACAGATATGCTTTACAGGAATAACTGTCATTGCATGCCTTTCTGAAAAAATATTATACCAAGGCAACCGTGTTATTATCTGCAAGTTTCCCACATTAATTCAGGATCTTAATATTGAATTGGCAAAATTAACAATCAGCAAAATTAACAATTGCTATTTGCTACCTACTGACCTGGAGATTTAAGTCAAGTACTATGAACCCTTAAAAAATAGCTCTAATTTTCACTTTTCACACATTATTTTCTATCCACAAATTCAACATGAACCAACAATGCATTTAGAGGGCAAAAATTGCACACTAACTACAGCATTTTACACCAGACTTCGGTTTTAAAAAAAAATATGAAAATCTGGGACCTTTAAGTTGCTGGGCAGGACCATCACCAGGGCAGTAGTGTAAAATTAATGAATGAAGATGTACCAGCTCATTCACCTGCACTGTGCTCCAAAGAGAGGGCTCTGCTGGCAGAGGCCTATCCAGGGACTCCTGTTTTGGGTGGGAGTTTTGTCAGCATAGGGTCTACCAGTGCTGATAATGGCGATAGAACGACAGCAGGTTTGGGATTAAGGGATGCTGTGAATAAGGTGGCGTTTCGGTGCTCTCCAAGTGATGCCCACTTTCCATCCCACACTGTGCGGTGACTGGATGCTGCCAGCCCACACAGATAGCCTGACTAACGAAAAGCTCCCCACTCCGGTCAGCGTCCACCCAGACGGACCCATGCCTTGACCTATAAATCACTCCCTGCTTCAGGGAATTTGCACAGCTTGGCTCCCGGGAGTGGGAGGAGGGCTGCAGTTTTTCTTCGAAAGCCCACACGCCGCGAAATCCCGCTTGCTCCTGCGCTGCAGCTCACGCAAACCAAAGTTTTGCCGCTCTCGCCATAGCGACGGGGAGCGAGACCCACCCCCGTCATCCCCGCTCCCCCCGGCGACGCCTCACCGTCCCAGCTCGGACTCCAGCTCGAAATAGTGAGCCAGGGTGTCCTTGTTGGAGCCATCGATCCAGTAGTCGGGCGCGGCGGAGCCGGGGCGGCCGCCGGCCGAGGAGCCGGAGGACGAGGACGAGGAGGACGAGGAGGACGAGGATGAGGAGGGCATGGTGACTTTCAGCATGCCGGGACGCCTGACGGGGGCTGTCCCCTCCTCCGCACCGGCTGCGGAGCGCGGAGCCAACGGCGACAACACCTCACCTCCCTCCCTCTTTCTCTCCTTCCTCACTTATTTCCTTCCTTCCCTCCCTCTCTCCCTCCCTCTCCCCTCCTCCTCTTCCCCCTCCCTGCGGTTCCCCAGCCCGGTGGGGCGGCGGGGCGGGACCAGGGCGGGACTGGGACCGCCCTGGGTGTGGGGGTCGCACCGCCCTCGGTTCCTGCCCTTCCCCTCCGAGCCCCGGGCGATCCCTTCCCGCAGGGAGCGACCCCTGAGGCCCGCCAAAGACGGTGGGATTCTCGCGAGTTCCCGGCAGAGGCACCGGTTGTTCCCCGAGCCTCTGGAGCAGGAGGACCCGGCTCCGCGGGGGACAACTACACGGATGGAGAAACCGCATCCCGATCCGGAGGGGAGGGATGCTCAGCCCGCAGCGAGGCGGCCCGCCATGCCGCAACATTCCGGGCAGCTCCCGAACCGCCGGAGTTCAGGAATTCTCTCTCTCACCGTGAATTTGGGGAGGAGGGTGTTTGGGGCAGAGAATGAACAAGAAAAACCAACGATGGGAAAGAGGCTGACAAGTGCTCGAACATGACTGCAAAAATAATAATAAAAACCCCAACACATAGCTTCCCTTCCCACCGGCGAACTAAAAGAAGCCGTAGAGAAATAAGATTGCTGTGGTACAATGCAGCTCTTAACAGTTATCTGTTAAGATGGCATGCATTCGGTTTGTACTAATGCATGCTGCACTGCTGAATGCAAAATCATTCGCCAGAAGCGCCTATAGAAGGGCCGTTTCTGTTGGTGTAGTGGCGAAATAAAACAGCAGCAGCTGTGTGTGCCTCGCATGCATAGTGTGCCAGATCAATCCCACTCGCATCTTCTCTGTGCTGTTACACCCACTCATACTGCCATGCCAGCACAGGCAGGAGGAAAGATGGACCATGTGCAAGCCTGTGCAGCAGAAGGGATGGAAGTATTGTCCTTAATTTTCAACCACAATTCACTATCCTGTTTTTAAACATGGTGTTTCTTGCTCAAATAAAGCACAGAATCCTGTTTAGTGTTTGTGCTAATTCAGGTGTACTAATGTTTTCCAAGATGTTTTGTTTCCCTCCATAAACAAGTCCATCTCTTACTGTTTCTTAACTTCTTTACTGTAGCCGGATGGGCCAATTAATCTTAATTCTGAACTTCTTAACTTCTCAAAGACCTAGAAAAAGAAATGCTTCTCTCTGCTTAATCAGATGATAGAAGAAGTATCTGCTAAACTGGTCTTTGTTAATGGTAGGAAAGGATAAAAGAGGTACATGAGATAGATAAAAGACAGATGAAGCCCTTTCCTTTGAAGTTTACTTATTGCCATTATAAAATTAAAATGTATATCCCCATCATGATTTGAGATTTTATCATTTTCAAATTCATATTTGAAAGGCAGGAAAGAGTAACCCAAAGTCCTAATTTGCAAACGAAGTTCCATCCAATCCAGTTTGACAGCAATTCCAAACTTCTTTTGGGATGAACTTTGTGCTCAGAGCACCTATGGTTACAGGGCTGAGATTAGAACCAGAGCAGCATCTCCTGGGAGATGGATGGAGAAAATCACACACACAGACAATGGCAAATCAGCACACTTAGAAGACCATATATTCCACATGATATTTTTGTTTAGTCAAATACCTAACATATTTTGTAACCCAAATGGCATGTATATTTCTCTTGTGGTGGTGTTTTGTAAAAATTATGTTAGTAAGATTATGTTTAACCAGGTACATGCATTCAGATTTGCATCTCAGCTGATCTATGTATGGTTACCATGAACCTTTAGGTACTCCTTGCTAAAAGACGTAGCACCAAGGGATTTTTTTTTTTAACTGGACTACCTGTATGAAAGGCATTTCACTTTCCTTAAAACTCTGATTCAAAGTAAGATGCATTGCACCATCTTACCAACCTAGTACTTGAAAACTGACTGGACCTTATTCTTCAGAAGACCCACTTTCTTCAAAAATTAAAATAACAATATCCAAATACGTTTAATATGGAATTAAAGAAAATCTTCAGGCTGAACAATGCATCTAACCAGCATAGAAATAAATGCCTCTCAGTCTCCAGGAAACTAAAGGCAGCATTTCAAATCCATGGTGGTCCACTCAGATCTATGTGAAGATTTACATCATCATTATTGGACATGAAACTAAAACACTAATAAAACTAGTTTATGTTTTTGTGGCACACTATGTGCGAAATTTTATTATGGGGCTACAAATATCATAATTTTCCTGCCAAAAAACCCAGATTAAAAACTCAAAAAAAAAAAAAAAATGGCAGGTCAAGGAGGAAGCAGTTTATATGAACAAAACATGCAAGAGATGTCCAGCCTCCTGCCTCTCTTCTGTCACTCAAAATTTTAAAGCTCAAAGCAGGAATTTAATCTGGTGTCGTGGTGGAGATGTGGGATCAGTAATCTTTCTGCCCTGCTATTTGCTACAGTCCTGTTTTGTGAATGCTCTTGTCCTTTTGTATAGACCTCATTGCATCAGGTAAAAGCAGTCCATACTTTATAAGGTTACATTAAAAAGTAAGGACAGTATGGTAAGTACAGTACTTTTTAAACTTGACTTTTGAAGTTTTTATACAATTTTAGCAGCTAGAACTTGGGTAGAAACTTGAGAACATGAAAATTCTGTCCAGAATTCTGAATAAGTAGTTTCGAGTTTATAGAAATCATTTGACATAGCACCATGTTAGTCCCTTGCAAGCTTAGGCTAATATTTCTGCCTGAACAAAACGCAGCAGCTGCTTACTGAAGGTACAGTGTGTCCACACATGTAGTAGAAAAGGTGGTATTATCTATAAGAAGTACCCTGTCAGATACTGTCCTCCTTAAGGAACATTTCTTTCAAAATAGCTTTCATGTACCAAGCTTTTGTCCTTACATGGATGATCTGGTATGGATTCCACATTTGCACCCACGCTAGACCTGATGCTTATCTGCTATATGTGTAGTGCAAATTAGGTCTTCTGAAACAGAAGTTACTCAAACCATGTCATATACAAGTCAAAGAAGTTCAGGTCAGGGCAAATCCCCAAAGCTTTCACTTCCCTCGCCTGTCATTGATTTTCCCTGCTGAATACAAAGCCCTGCACTGCATTTTATTTTCTGAAACATCTTTCATCTTGCATTCAACTTCCAGAACCTCTGGATGACTATGCAAGCTTCCATTGAATGCCTGTCTGTTAGGAATACCAAAACCTTTTGCTAATTTCTTTGTTTTTATTTATACAGAAGAAGCCTTACGACTTGTATTGAACAAGTTCACTTCAGTCTCTTATCATCTTTCATGCTATTTTATATGTAAATTGAAGTCTACTTGATGATTTATTGAGCTGCTGGGTAAAGATGGACTCTTTCACCACTTGGATATGTGAAGAGTTTTAATTCGGTAAGAATGAACACAGTGCCAGGAGACGTCAGGAGAATAGTGGTGCTGGTGAGGAGGTGTGTTTATTGCAAGAAAAAAAACAAGAGGAACAGAAACATCCTTTGTAGAGTGACAACTGAGGTGAAGGACAATAGCATGTCCTTTTGCCTCCAACCCTACTCATGTGTTTTGAAGTCAAGACCACTTTTTTTGTCAATGTCTGGGAAAAGGGATAAAATACGGATAAAAAAAATGATCACCTGAAGATAAACTGTCAGAAAACAATGTGATTCATCCATCCCTGAACCACATTATGTGGGCTGCAGTTATCAATAGGGTCATTTTACAGTCAGTGCAGGAAGACACACAGAACAGTTATATTTGCAATATAGTCACAGCACTTATCTTTCCAGTCCCTCTTTAAGTGATTCAATAAATTTTTTGATTTCTAGAATGTGGGAGGATACTTGAAGCATTCCCTTTCATTTTTCAGGATCAAACAACATTGGTTCACAAAAAAAAAAAAAAAAACAAACACTAAAGCCGATCCACATGTTTATGAGTCATTAAACTCAAATAAACCAACCCCTTGAGGACAAGCTTCATAATCCTGAAGCTGCCTAGTAGGACCCATGGAAGTTACACATCACTCTTCCTGAGCTCTAATCCCTGCTCAAACAAAACCCAGCTGGAGGTTCTCTGCCACTATTAGCACCTCAAGAAATTTCTCCACAATAAAGTGTTTCCTTGATTCCAACGTGGAACTTTTTCTCCCCCTGCTCCTTGCCCCCCTCCCTGAATGCTATTATGCAGTTTTAAATATGCAGTTTAAACTTCCTCCATCATAGGGAAAAGGAACACTCTCCTCACCACACACCTCACAAAAAAAGTAAACCATGAAGTGAATTCTAAAATGTACAAGTAAGTATACAAAGTTTTTTGACAGGTTTAAGGTGATGCCAGCCTTTCAACACTTCCAATAGAAAGTTGAAAAAAAACACTGAGAAAACAGATACAAAGAGTCCTAGTCACAGCCAAGCACTCTTAAAATGAAAGCTGACAATTTTAATATAGTTTCTTTCACTTTGAAGAACAAAAAGACAATTTTATCCTTTTTTTGATACTTGGAAAAAGACATCTGCATGCAGGAAATTATATAAAAACTGTAAGAGTAAGTCAAAGTTAGCAGTTTCTTAGAAATGGTCATTTGTATGAAGCAAACTCACTTTCCCAAGATAGGCTGGAGTCCAATCTCAATTTAGTAGTAAATCAGTCATTTCAGAGTAAGGTTAGAAGGAAGTTTAGGCATGAGAGCTTTAGCAGCTTGTGTGGATATGCAATGAATTGAAAAAACAAGAAACTATGCTTTAAAATAGTTCTTTTTTTCTATTTCCTGAAATTTATGTTTCGTCCAGTGTCAAAGAAAACATTAAAGGATCATTTGAAGGGGAACTGCTGCCACACACCTCATTTTAAAAGAGGTCATGTGTCTCCTTTTGCTGATTTGTGAGCAAAACCCAGTTAAAAATTCCGCAGATCCTTCTGTGTTAAATTGCCCAGCAGAGAGCTGTCTGAGCTGTTTGCTTGATTTTTCTCTATGTATATGCAGATTTGCTC